TTTTGTGATGTGTGTAGTGGCTAAATTGTTGCCTAGATTTGACATTTAACTTGTAATTTGACATTTTGCATGCAATTTTGCGCGGATTTTTTATGCGAAAAAGTAGAAATTGCGGCGAAATAAAAGTTTTCACGCTGGAATCATGTGTTTGTATTAAAATTTCCTGAATCGGAGCCACTCATTTGAAATATCATTTATAGAGTCATTTTAAGAAATAATTTCCTTACTTCAACAAAACATATTTGAAATCTATCTTACTAATTTTCTAAGGAATCTAAACAAAGTCAATCCCACTTCTCCTCTTTCAATATTAATAGATAAACAATGTTACAGAGTGATCCCTATTTCCAAATAATTTTATTGAAAAATTGAGAAATTTTTTTGAAAATCTATCACTGTAAATAGAAATTTGAGCGAAAAAACTGGCAGAGGAAATGCTCCATTTAAAAGTTTAAATTTTTAAAAAACGAGAAGGGATACACACTAAAGTATGATACAGGCTGAACATTTATGATGAAAATTGACTATAAAATTATTATTTAAAAAAAGGAATGGATGGCATCCTGGAACAATACAACAAAGATCTAAGAGATTTAAAAGCTTTACATAGACTGGAGTCCGGGGGAGATGTCTTGCCCCCTATTTCCATCATTAAACAGAAAGTTAAGAGAGTTCCTGGTATTTTCCCTTGATTTAACTATTTAAAGAAAACTTGTCTGTTTTACATTTTATCTTTTATCCAATTCCATCCTGTTCCATCTATATCTCGAAACTCCTAGAACAAGAATCTACCCTCCTTGCTTTAAATATATTCAGAAAAAGAAAGTTGAAGCAAAGTTTGGTTAAATCAACTGAATATATTACAATATTTTTCTAGGAATTCAGCCTAATCTTTCCCCAAACTATCAACAGATTGAATGTTATAATTAAAAATTAAAAATTTAGAATATCCATCTCAAGTGTGGCATGTCTAATTAACAATGGTGCATTTTAAACCTCTATTAAAGTGGCATCAATCAGGTAGACTTTGTCATCTTTTTATCATCAAACCTGTCAAATGTTGTCAACACATTTCATGTCTTTGCAATTTAAATCCGCATACCATAATTTATGACCTATAGAATCTGAATCATCCATGATCAGAAAAACTAATCCTAAGATTTGAGAGAACTTGAAATTATATTTACAATTCCTTGTGAGGCAATGACTAAAGTTTCAATAAACTGAAATATAATATTTTTTTTTTAATAATAATCTTTTGGGAGAGTCAAAACAAACTTCTAAAAGAGCTAGTTTCTCTCAAAGTCAATTTTTTTTTAAATCTCTGTATTTTTGAAACCTGGTTTACAGCGCTGAAATTTTATGCTTTGACTTTAGAGTCATAGGGTAAGAAATATAAAGTCAGGTTTCAAAGATATAAATATTTAAAAAATCTATATATTAAATGGTTGCTTTAGAGTTATTATGCTTAATAGGGCAATGTTTGTTATTTAAGGGTTAAATACTGTAGCTGTGGCTTGTGTTAAATCATAATTATGATTACAAACCATTATAATTAATCAATTTTTATTAGTTCAGCCCTCTCTCCTCAATACACATTATGTAAGGTGTATAAAGTGTATATAAAAGAGGTAAAAGGGACTGTAAGCGTTATTTCAAATGACTTTTCATTAAAAGAAGTTAAGTTTAGATTCACAACAATAGCTTTTAAACCCTCAACAGATCAAGGATGAATAAATATCACATTCTCTATCATCCTGTTGAGCTGTTGAAGGTTCAAAGGGTAATGTTGAGAATATGAGCTGGACTTCTTTGAAGGTCTCTTGAAATCACGCTTACAGTCCCTTTAGTAAATAGAGTATTTGTGAAGTATACACTGAGGCAATGGGAACTAAAATGTGCATGCTCTAACAAAAAAATTGACCAGGACATTGCCAATTACTCCATTTAACTGGCACTAGAAACTAGCCCACTGCCAATTACTCCGTTTTAACTGGCACTAGAACCTAGCCCATTGCCAATTACTCCGTTTGAACTGGCACTAAAAGCTATTGCCAATTACAGAAGCTATCCCATTGCCAATTACTCCGTTTTAACTGGCACTAAAAGCTAGCCCATTGCCAATTACTCCATTTGATCTGGCACTAGAAGCTAGCCTATTGCCGAGTAAAAAAGGAATTGATGAGGTTACACAAAAGGCATTTCCTTCCATGTTCAGTCTCTAGATCTCTGTGAAGGACGTTGAACTTCTATTATTATTGTTTTGATATGTACCCAGTCCCACAGAGCTATGATAAATAAAGCAGGAACTCTCGATCACATTTTATACAATCAGAGCTGCCACATCATGATGTATGTTCTTCATTGTCATAAAGACCTTACACAATCCATTCCACATGCCCTTTACGGGTTTCTCTAACAGCTTTCTGCCAAATTTGCAGGTGTGCACTGTGAAGTGATATCAGTGGAGCAAATGATTAATTTAATGCACATATGTTCCTTAGAGGAGAGCTAGAAAAAATTCAGCCGGAACTCTTTATCACACTTTTTGCACCTGGAGCGACTATGCCATGACACATTTTCATCAGTTTTATAGAAATATTCCACAATCCATATGCCTTTTACTGGATCTTTCACAGCTGTCTGCTAAGTTTACAGGTTTGCGGTGGCATTTAAGATGGCAATGGTCAATCAATCATGGTTATCAAGCTCATATTTAAATAACAGTTACACCTGTACACTTGTCCTTCAGTATTATTCAAACCTTCTGCATGGCCTCACTAGGATTTTCTCCAGGTGTGTAGCAACATATTAGGCGGAGATGATTACTTTGTTGCACATGTTCCCGCGGGGAGAGCTAGTGTAAATTCATCAGGAACTTTTAATCAAACTTAAGCTCAGAACTGCCATACCATGAGACATGATCATCAGTGTTAGAAAAATTTCCATGTGAACACTTGTTCACAGTTCTCAAGCTCAAAACAGCCATTTTCTGGCGCACATACTTCTGAGTTATTCTAACCTTCTGTATGCCCTGAACTGGATATTCTACTAAATTTGCAGTGTGGCGCCATCATCATTGGGGGACATAAATTAAATGTAACAAAAGGGGAGGGTGGGTGTCATATTTGTAATTAATATATCTAAAGTGCAGATATGTTTTCTATATAGACATGTTTATAAAAATATGTCTGTACTATCTACTGTCTACAATGCGGATTGGTTCCTGCTTCAACAGCTTTTGTTGAAGACAATTTTGAGGGAGTTACTTAAACTTTAGGATAAAATATTTTATGTTCATAGCTGGTCCTCCATCATGCCAAAGTCTTGGTTAGCTTCATGCGGGTTTTACATTATTGTTATTCTACTAATATATTATGTACTGCAAAACTTCCTGCATGATATCTTAAATTCACTGGTTAACATTGACTTCTGTTAATTTGGTATGCCTAATATAACCATAAGTGCAAATACTAAGAACCTTTTATTAGTTGCTAATACCATCAAATGAAAGGTTTTTAGATGGCATTACCATAAAATGAAAGGTTCTTAGTAATTTATTTCTTGTTTATTTTAGGCATGCAAAACTAACAGCTGTCATGGTTAACAGCAAATTTAACAGCTGTCACTGTTATCAGCAAAACTAACAGCTACCACTGCAGCAAATTTAACGGCTGTCACTGTTATCAGCAAAATTAATGACTGTCACTGTTAACAGCAAACTTAACGGATGTCACTGTTAACAGCAAAATTAACGGCTGTCACTGTCAACAGCAAACCTAACGTGGCTGTCACTGTTAACCGCAAAATTAACAGCTGTCATTGGTAACAGCAAATTTAATGGCTGTCACTGTTAACAGCAAATTTAATGTCTGTCACTGTTAACACCAAATTCAACAGCTTTAACTGTTAACAGCAAATTTAATGGCTGTCACTGTAAACAGCAAAATTAGGGGCTATCATTGTTACAAATAAATAGGTCTAAGGTAAAGGCTTCAGTATATCTCACGGTAATAAATTTTCAAAGTTTAAGTGCTGCAAGGTTTAAAAAGACTGTCCACCGCTGTCACACTGGAAAGCTAAACATTACTTTACAAAGCATACTGTAGGGTCTACTTAAATGTAGCTATAATTGACCCTTTATTTGTAAAGTAGCATGTCTGACTTAAAATGCTTTACTTCATGTGGAGAAGTAAGTAGATATTCTTATTTTCACAGCTGGAAATTTAGTTCCTTAAACAGATTAGAGGTTCTGTCCTTGTCCCAGCAAGCTCTAACATTTGATCACAATTTGACTATTCTGACATATTTTTCTGTTTTCTGTCCTTACTGTTTTGATGGCAGATGCATTTTAAATGATAAAGTAGAAAAATTTAAAGATAATTGAATTTGTAAACAGAACACAATTAAATTCAAATTAAAGGAAAAAAAGCATCTAGCCCTGAGTCCGAATTTAATGAATTTGAGCTGCGTCTTTGAATTTGGCCTCTGGTTAGTTCAGGGTGCTAGTCAGCTAGTGTGCTGATGCAAAGGTTTAAAGCGTACTTTTTTAATTCAGATATGCCACTCTTCAAACAGTGAGTCACAAGAAATTATGATTTCAAACCCTAAAATGCAGGAACAAAATGTGAAAGGTAATTCAGTGTAAACTGTACAAAGCAAAACTACTTGACATATGATGATGTCAGTACTTAATCTACAATTTCAAAAGAGTTTATCAAACATGTTTGGATATTTATATTTGAAATATATTGTTCACCATCTTTTGCTAAAATTTGATAAGGAACCATTAAAAGAACTTTGAATTATCATTTAAAATTTTGATTTTATTAAATAATTACACAACTATGAGTTTCTTAAAAATAAACATCGCTTAGTAAATTTTTTTAAACAAATAATGATTACCTCTTCTGTTTATTGTACAAAGTACATACCGTTAAAGTACATACCTATAAACTACTGTTACTAAATGTACAAAATATGCAGGATTACTTTTTTACCTCTCCTCTATAGTGTACATACTAGTAAACAATTCATTAATTAAGTAATTTAAAAAAAACATCTTTTGAGGTTTTGGTCCATTAAGGTTTACATTTCAGAATATATGATGCTTGAAAAAATGCATTTCCATTGAATCCTGATTTCAAATAATAGAAAACTAATTTTGTTATGATAAAATATATAAAGATAAGATTTAAAAAGAAAGTTTTAAAAGTAACAAGTTTATTATCATAAAAAACATTAAAGCAATTTTCAGAAAACATTGAGAAAAGAAAAAAAAATCTAAACAATCACACATAGATTTTGTAAAATAACCTAAAAACTGGAAACTCCCTTGGATTCATTTCTTACTTCCTTACACTTTATAAATTTTTTTGTGGAGGAGAAAGCATTTTTTTTAGTTCATTAAATTAATATAGATCCAGTTTTATGTACACATAGCAAGTGTACTGTGCAAAATACCTGAGGTCATTGTGTACAGGGACCCTATCTGGAGTATACCAGGCCAGCTTTAGAGCCTCAGAACCAATCCAGTTCTGCAGATTACGGATCCGGCAAGTTAACACCAGGTTACTTCCTGATCTCACCTAAATAAACATTTGTAGGTCTACTTTAATCTATATGTAAATTTATATGTAAAGAAAAATCACCCTGCAAATGGCTCTGCCAAACCGATGTCAACTGTACAAGGTCCACCTTCACCATACATACATATAGTCGGTTAAATGCTTTTTGGGAACCCTTATCATAACTTTATCATATTATAAGTTTTGCATTTTTCTGTAAATTTTGTTTATGTGCTATGTTTTATTATTTTAAGGACGCATTTTTTTCTCCCTGGTCTATTGAGATTAGTTTTTAAATCATAAATCATAAATCATAACTATGTAATTGTTACTTTATTACCATGTTAAATGGAGACTTAAGAATTAATTAGTTCCAGGTATTAGTTCAAGGCTTCATCTTCAATGAAAACAAATAAAAGTGTTTTATGTTAAGGCGTTCATAATGCCAATTTTATACAAGCAACTTTTATTGTTCTTTTGTAAAATAAATTGCAAACTGCTTCTTTTTGCCTTGCATACAGTCAAATACATTATGGATTCTAATTTTCATAACTTTCACAAAATAAAAATATATTTAAAACATTTTAAAAAAATAGTCTCAATTCCATCTTAGGTTTTGAACCAAATTATGGAATTTAAATTTTAGTTTTAAAGAGTAATCGAAGCATAATATTCTTCATTTTTCATTTGTTTTACTTGTAAAAATTTTTTTTTTTTAGCTATAAAAGAAAAAGTTTTGGTGACAAGCATTATTCTTATCCTTATTTGCTTAGGGTAAATAATTCTAGGTTTTATTTTTCTTGTTGAATAAAACATTTAAAAAATGTCTTTTAGATTTTAGGATTTTCCCTTCAAGTTCAAATTATTTTATTTTAGCTCGTTTTTTATACTCTTTTGCCTAAAAATTTGTTTGTAAAACTTTAAAAATCTTAAAAAAGGTTGAAAAAAATATATTTTTCGTAGATAATAATGTCTAAGAAAATATTTACCCCTGAGTTTGCTTTTATGCTAAAGCTTACAAAACTCTTAAATCATGCAATATGAGTCTGCAATTACAGAAACCTAAAAACTTTTATAAATTTTCTATAAAAGCACATATAAGTTTGCAAATTCAGGAAAGAGATAAAAATCTTATAAACTATTATTTGTAGAATTATTTTAATAAGACCAGGATATTCTAGAAATTATCTTGTACAAGTGCTAAATACAAAATCATTACTAAGAATAGGAACTTCTATGTACATGGCAAAGTTTGTGTCTAAATATCTTTTACATCTTAGAAAATTGTGCTTTTTGTCATGCCCAACAGTTTTTATAAATAGATGTTAATATAATGATTCCCTCGATCCCTTGCAAGAACATTTACCTCTTGATGAGTTGAGGGAAGAATCATCAGGTCAGAATATGCAAATGATCCAGAGGCATCAATCCTTCCGTCCTCATCCCATCCAGATTCAGATCTATCTCTGGTATACCCAGATAGTCCTTCTCCAGCTTCTAGTTTACTCAGCACTCCTGAACCATGTAGATATCAGTGATATCAATAGAAATGGGGACATTTGACTTTTTTCATTTTGTTTGTTCATCATTAGTGAACAACCCATTATTCAAAAAAATTTATTTTGTTTGTTCTTAAAATTATTGTTCATTTTCCAACAATTTTGCTATTTTTTCACTGAAGGCTTGTTCAGTAAAATTGTGTGTTCAGTAAAACTGTTCATTCAGTAGAATCATTGATTCAAAAAAAATGATTTGTGCAGTAAAAAAACTATTATTTTTAAAAATTTGTTTGTTCAGTAAAAAACTTGCATTAGTTAAAAGTTTGTTCCACAAATTTGTTCATTCAGTAAAACAACGATAGTGTTTTTTTTTCAAATCTTTAGGGAAATTTGTACTTTATTAATAAAATTACAGTTTTTATTTTCAAAGGATTTAAAATTGTTAGGTTTTTTATCATTCGTTTTAAAAAGAGGATTGTTTTTTCATTTCTCTGAACAATAAATTTTGTTCGTTCATCGCTAGTGTTTTGCTGAACAACACCCTTTTTCACAAAACATTTTGATCATTCTTTAAAATATTGTTTGTTAAAAAAGATTAAGCTCATCTCTTGTATAAAGTGGTAGATGCATTGTGTTGTTAATTTCCAGTATAGTACACAATCCCAGCACAGTACACAATCACAATACAGTCAACAATTTCAGCGCAATACACAATACCATTACAGTTCACAGTCACAGTATAGTACACAATACCAGTACAGTACACAATCCCATTACAGAACACAATCCCATTACAGCACACAATCCCAGTACAATACAAAATACCAGTACAGTAAACAATACCATTACATGTTTAAACAAAACCAGTAATTTTTGGAAAATTTCGAAAAGGGTGAAAAAAAAAGTATTTCATCGAAAATTTCAAATTTTTTTTCATGCAAAATGTTATACAGTAGCAGATTTAAGAAACAATATTTTTTAAGGTAGTCAATGTTTTTCTCAATTTTCAAAACATGTTTATATGTGTCTGAAACTAGTTTTTTTATACTAGGGATTAAGAATTTTCTGAATTCAAACGGATATTTTGATACTCATTTTGATTTATTTGAAGAATTTTCACAATTCCAAGTATATAAGCAGGCTTATATCCTGGAATAGTAAAAGTGTAGAAACTCCAAAACTAGAAAACTAAAGTTTGAACTCGACTCAATTTATTGCTTCTCCTTTCCCGGCTTCTATTTCACATTAACAGATAATAACCAGAAAACTTACTTTACTTCTGTTATTTGAGACTTTAGCTTATATGTATTTTATAGCATACAGATACTAGGCTTCTAGGCCACTTCCTGCCTTGCTTCTATTTTTACTTTTAACTGATGTTCCACTAAGTGAGGCAACTTATTAAACAATAGTAAAAAGATTTCGTGGATTTATCAATATTGTTTGTGGATTTATCAATATTTTTTTGTGGATTTATCAATATTTTTTCGTGGATTTTGCCAACCCTAAATTTTTTCTCAGGCAATTTTTGCATTCTGAACATCATGTGAGGTCCCCAAAAAATTGGGTCCGATTGATGCTGCCATTATTATGTTTATTAGATACAAGAAACAAGCAAACACAGTATCTACTATCTATTAAAAGTTGCATTTTCTGTTAGAGTTTTGAGATTCTAAGTTTAGTAGGCATTTGTCACTTCAGGGCTTTTAGACTTGATCTAAAAAAATAAGTATATGGTGTATGATGACATTGAGTTGAAAATATTTCATGTAAGGCCTAAAAAGAAAATCAAGTTTTTCAAATCTTGCATTTTTCTTTACACACAACAAAATTTACAAATTATTTGTACATTTTGAGTTTTACTAAAAATAATATCGAAATAGAATCTACTTTAAGCTTACCTGAAATTAATATTAAATTCTCAGATTTGAGTAAGATACAACAGATTTTTGAGGTTGGATTTAAGATTTTGATCTGCAGAAATACACAAAACACATGGACTCTCATTTTATGGGTCTTTCTATCTTTTTCAATTATGCAAATTTATCTGTATCTAAACGTTCTTTCCTCCAGCTTGGGTAATAGAAGTTTAAAATAAATTATATATTGAGATACTTGACAGTTCAAGATATTTAAAACATATATTTATCAAATTTTGTTTTGTGTAAAGAAAAATGCTCAAGATTACTTTGGGGATTCAGGCGAGATTTGAAAAACTTTATTTATGAACTATTTGCTGCTCAAAAAGAATCTGTTTCTATACAATCATAGATTAACACCATAATCTTATTTTTTAGATCAAGTTCATAAACCCTATAGACCCTATGTTTGGCTAGTGTTGGTCAACTTTACTAGCGAAAATTTAGTTTTCCGGTAAAATCGTTCAAGTGCGGGTAAACGGCAAGAGTAACTTTTTACTAGCCTGGGCAGTGCTGGGTTTCTAAGCTAGTATATATATATATATATATATATATATATATATATATATATATATATATATATATAAATATTTACTGGCACGATAGCTAGTGTTAACCCAGCGTTAGAACCTACAGGATGGTTAGAGAATCTTGGTTCATCAACAGGTTTAAATCTAAAATCTGTGGAATAAACAGGAAAATGTAAAATTATAGTTGCCTTTTTTTTACTGTTTGCTTTTAGATGAATGTTTGGTTATTTTATTTGTTTTGTTTTTATTGTCTTTAATTTTTTGCTAATGGAAATTTTTTTTTAATTTAGTTTTTTGTTTTTTGAAATAACCTTGTGATGTTTTTATTTTGATTTATCATAATACCTGTATAATACTTGTATTTATAAAAAAAACCTTTGTTATGAAAAGTTGTTTCCTTATCTTTTCGTTATAAAATAATATGGTTGTTTTTGTATAGAATTAAGAAGGATATTTAAAATATCGAAATATATTTTCTCTGAGAACCATCAGGGTTTTTGAAGCAGTTTAAAAACTCTCTACCACAAAGGAATATTTACAATTATAAATATAAATGTTGTATATATATACAGTGCACACTAATTCACTTTATGTTGCCACCAAGCTATAATCAATTATAGCTTTATATACCTCTCATGTGAAATAAACTTTATTGAATTATGTCTCTAGAACTAATATAATTATCGACTCCGCAAAATGTGTCACAAGTAATAAGTAACAGGGATAGGCGTTGTTAACAGGGAACAATCACTTTTTTAATAAAGGGACTGTAAGCGTAATTTCAAGCGACTTTTCAATCAAAGATTACATTACCTGATTCACAACAGTACCATTGAAAGGTTTGTCTGATCGAGTGCCTAATAGATATCAATGTTTACAACTTTAAAAACTGATCATTTTCAGTTTCAAAGGCCCACTGGGCCGCCCAAGAGAGTTACCATTGTAAGCCTCATTTGAAATTGTGCTTACAGTCCTTTTAACAAACGAATGTTCCCATAATGAGAATATTTAGTTCTGTAGGGTCTCAAAAATTAAAACATTTTGATAAATATTTACCTCTGTGTGAGTCAAAATGACCCCATAATTACCATTTATTTGTCATTTTTGGTTTTTTAATAAAAAATCTAAATTATTGAATAGTTTTTCCTTCAAATTTATATTATATTTAATAAATACAGGATATTTTACCCAGAAACAATATTTTTTAATAATAAAAGGATGCTTTAAAATTATTTCAAACGTTTTTTACACTGCTTGAAATTTTATAATTTGATTTTCTGGAACATTAATATTTTGCACAATTTGCTTTAGTGTTTTTATTTAATCACTGCATATCTAATTTGTTCATTTGACAATTTTCATTTAAAAGTATCCTCTATTTTTTTTGTTTTATTTTATTTATTTTGTTATCTTCCTTTAGCGTTAGTTTTACTTTAACATATTATATAACTTTACATGGGATTTGATGTCAAGCATTAAAATAAATAGAAATAGAAAAAATCAGTTTTAAGATTAAATGGATGCAGTTTTCATTTCAGAGCTTCTTCCTATTGGCACGTTAAACTTTCCATGGGCACATTAAACTTTCCATGGGCACTTTAAACTTTTCATGGGCACGTTAAACTTCCCATGGGCACGTTAAACTTTCTATAGGCACGTTAAACTTTCCATGGGCACGTTAAACTTCCCATGTGCACGTTAAACTTTAGTCATTCGATCTCTTTTAAAAGAGCTATCGTGAAGAAAAAAACTGTTATGTAATAAAATTTTACAATAGAAAAACAATGATATTTCTGTACGGTTGTAACTGATTGTCAAAAAATTGTTTTTGAAAATCTATTTCTGCGCGCCATGAGAAAATAATAGTACACTTAAAATGTTGCACGTGAAGAAAATACAATTTAACTGTAAACAGCATCTACTTTCGTAATGAACTAATTTTTTGTTCAAATTGTTTTCCAGGGAAAATGTTTTCACCATTAATTATTAATTAGGTACAATACAAGTTCTAATCTGAGAGGAGGGAGGAAAGGCACACCACACCTTCTCTGTACTGTACCTAGGGATAGGCACGTTCCGAATTTTTTTAAATCGTTCCATTCTGTTCTAGAATGTGAGCCTTCAGCTAGATCGTTCCCTTCTCGTTCCTTTTTATCCAGTCGTTCCATTCTTGTTCCGTTCTCGTTCCTTTTTTCAATCGTTTCGTTCTTGTTCCATTCCGGTCTGAGTATAAGAAGGGTCATTCTGTTCCGTTCCGTTCTTTTTTCAGAATAATAGGATTATTCTTGATCGTTCCGTTCGTTTTCGTGAAAGAACGATCGTTCCCCAGGAATGATGCCCAGCCCTATCTGTACCTTCATAGGATATTATTTCATTCTAAACCATTATAAATAACATGAAGTGGCTCAAAATTCAAATTCAAAAAGGGTGAAAGAAAAAATAGTGAGCCCATTGCCAAGAAGTTGAGTCTATGTCTTAATTTCAAGTTGGACGAAATAAAGGTGTAGTCTGCCTTCCCTCCCTCCTGAGAGAAGTATAGTCCTCATCTACCCCATTAAACAACAGCA